AAGTCTGGTTTTGAGACTTATTTATGTGTTTTCTCATTTCAACTGGGGCGGGGGGCTGTTAGCGCCTGCACGGATTACCTCCTCTGAGCTGGGAGAGGTGGGACAGGGGCCGCGAGCAGCGTTAGGGATGGTGACCCAAAAGCCCTTTCCTGTGGGCTGGGAGCAGCGGGAGGGATGGTGACCGGGAAGCCCCTTCCCCTGGACCAGGAGCAGTGGGAGGACGACTCAGAAGCCCCTACCTCTGGGCCGGGAACAGTGGGACTCTGTACCTTGGTCTGGTGGTCTGGTGTCCTCTGCGTCTTTGTAGTGTGGAACCAGTTGGCTGCCTGTCTGCAGCGGGGTGATTCGGTGTCTTCTGCGCGACTCAGGACCTCGGTAGGGCGTGCACAGACCTTTCTGCGTGCAGCGGGCTGATTCGGCATGTTCTGTGCCTGAAACTTATTTATAATGCCAGCATTACTCTGATCCCTAAATCTGAAAAAAAAAATTACAAGTATAAAAAACAAAGTACTAACATCCTACTACAAAGGTTAGAGAAATCAAAGAAGATATAAACATAAACATACACTATCTTGCTAGATCAGCAAACTCAATATGTTGAGGTCAATGCTCTGCAAATTTAAATGCAATCCCAATGAAAATCCCAGCAGCCTTTTGTTTTGTTTTGTTTTGTTTCCTAGTATTTGACAAGCTGACTCTAAAATTTATATGAAAATGCAAAGGATCTAACTTGAATAGAACAAGTTTGGAAAGAAAAATAATACAAGATTTATACTACCTGATTTAAAAACTTATAAAACTACAATGCCAGGCATAGTGACACACCTGTATTCCCAGCACTCTGAGAGGCTGAGGCAGGAATACTGAAAGCTCAACCTTGGCAATCTAGCAACTTAATGAATACCCTGTCTCAAAATGAGTTTTTAAAAAAGGTCTGGGGATGTAGCTCAGTGTGAAGGTCCTTGATTCAATCCCCAATACCCCCCCACACACACACACTGCAGTAATCTAGACAGTGTGGTATTAGTATTAAAATGCATATGTACCATGGTGGTGCATTTCTGTAATTCCAGCATATTCGGGAGCTTGAGGCAGAAGGATTGCTGCAGGTTCAAGGCCAGGCTGGGCTACATAATGAGTTCAAGGCCAGCCCAGGCTACATAGTGAGATTCTATTTCAAACAAAACAAAAATGCATATGTAGATCAATGGAACATAATAGACAGCACATATACACGTATACATATGTATGTATATATGTATATATATGTATATGTGTATATATATGTTTGTATATATATATATGGAAAGGAATAATCTTTTCAAGAAATGGTACTAGAACTGAGGTAGATATAGAGAAAGTACAAATAAACAACAAGAAATGTGAGGCAAGGATCAAGAAAGCAGATAGCAAGGAGGACTATGTCAAAATATCAGGAAACCGACAGATAAAGGTCACCCTGTCCTCCCAAGATCCTCAGGCATGCACAAAACTGAAATTACGTGACCCTGGCCAGTATCCAACCTCATTTGCCTTGTGGTTTTGACCCCCTAGTGGGCTTTGGACACCATGACACTTCCTCTAAAATCCTTGTATAGTCAAAAAAACAAACAAAAAAAAGCCTCCCTCCCAACGGGTGGGCTGAGTCAGGTTCCCATTGACCCATGATTCCTATCAATTCCAACTGTGGATCTGCCGGTAATCCTAGGACTTTAAGAGACCGAGTGCTGCCCCCATAGGGACTGCAAGCTTTTCTCACTGGCCTGCTCCCACACTGAGCAGTGTACTTTTATTCCTTTTGCTTTTAATAAATCTTACTCTTGTTACTCCTTCTGAGTGTCCTGCTCAGTTCTTTGTTGGGATATCAAGAACCTGAAACAACTTCCCAGGAGGAGGAACAAAGCAATTGGATATTTACATACCAAATAAGAAAAAAGGAACACAACCTTTACCCCACACCCTACACAATAATCAAAATGAATGAAAGAGCTAAAGTTAAATGTTAGAGCTGAAACTGTCAAACGTCCAGAAAAAAAGATGAAATGTTCATGATTTTTTTCCCCCTGAAGTGCTGGAAATTGAACCCAAGGCTTCCTCTGTGCCAGCCACATGCTCTACCCCTGACCCCAAACCCATCTCAAAATTACTGAAATAAGACATAAATACAACAACAACAACAACAACAACAACAACAACAACAACAACAACAACAAAGATAAATTGGAACAATTGCTCTTCTTTGTGTCAGATCTTTGCTACTGTTTCTTTCTTCTGTGTCTGCTGGCCTGCGTAGTCTCCCTCTCCCATGACCCATGGCCCTTGCTAGGGGTCAGTTTGGTGCTGCCCTAACTCCACCTGGCACACCGTCCATGTGCCTGCTGCCACCCGCCCCACACAGCTCCCACAGATGTCACTGTGTTAGGAATGTGGTCCTTCCCCCGGGAGAGCCCTTGCACCTCCAGGACATGCCTCTGTACAGGTGTGGGTGAGAAATGGTGGTCCCAGATGGGTTTCCCACTAGGCTCAGCTGTCTCCACCCATGGCCTAGTTTTGGTTATACAGAAATAGCTTTCTAGAGATTCAAAGGTCAATATAGAATTCTCTTGTGTTGGTTTTGCTCATTTCAATGTTGATTTATTGGTGAAATGGAAAAGAGAATTGAACAGAGAGGGTTTAGATTCCTGCCCACCATCACAGATCCCTTTTGAATCAGAGTGGGTACCAGTTTGACCCACTCTCACACTGTTGAAAAGTCTTGAAATACAGTAAGTGTATTTGTTTGACACAGGAGAAGGAATAGAGAAGACAGTGCCCAAGGCAGCTGTAGTCCTATGGGGCCATTGGTATTACAATTTCTGCCCTCATAATTAGTGACTCTGTTTGTTTCAGGGTCCATTACTTAGAAGGTCTTTAATGAGGTGTTCAGAGTCCCTTCCCCAGTAAGGAGTTATGGGGGGGGGGGGGGTCTGGCACAGGCGACTCAGGCTGTGCCGTAATCAGGGTGTCTCACACTGGGCTCTCCCAGTACCAAGTGTGGTGGTTAAACTTGATTGTGTCAGCTTGACTGGAGCTGCCCAGGGGATCTGTGGAGCACACTTCTAGGTGTGTCTGGGCGGGTCAGGGAGGCATCTTTGCTCTACAGTGCTCTGCTGCCATGATGTTCCTTCCTTGGAGGCAGCTGACCATGAACTGAATCCCCTGAAACTGTGAACTGAATCAAACCTCAACTTCTTTGAATTGTGAGTGTCCAGTATTGTGTCCCATCCAGATAAAACTAATCACCAAATGTACACTGCCACAAAGATGAGGAAAGGTCAGGGGCTCTGGAAGCTGGAAAGGCTCAAAGGCCCAGAGGGATGGGCAGGAGTTGAATGGAAAGAGAAAGGCCAGCAGCCCCACTCCCGGCTGAGGAAACAGCCTGAGCAAATTCAACGAGGGGAAATCCAGGAACATGTTGGGAACGATGAAGAAATAATGCTAAGCAAAGTAAATCAGACACAGAAGGTTAAATATCACATGGTTTCTCTTATATGAGAAACCCAAAGTATAAATAATTTAAAGAGCAAAATAAAAGCCAATAAAGGATCCGAGGATTTAGCTCAGTGGTTTTGCCGCCTGCTGCGCAAGCGTAAGGACCCGAGTTTGATCCCCGGTACCAAAAAATTTTTTAAAAGACAATAGGAAACAAGGAGATAGACCTTTTGCAGATGGGGAAAAAATGGGAGGGGGAGGAAGGAGAAATAAAAAGGCCTAAAACGTGACGTGTGTGTGTGTGTGTGTGTGCGCGCGCGTGTGTGTATACCAACTCCCCAGTATGAGTGTATTCATCATGTGTCGCAAATCTGTGTTAATTAAAAAAAAGAAATCTAGTTTGATGGGGTATGCCGGGGCGGGATTTCAGGGTAGGGATTTGGCTGGAGCCGAGAGACACGGAGGTCTAGCGGACAAGTCAGAGCCAGGCTGTCGGAAGCTTCCGGGGTAGCGGGCATCCAGTTCCAGCTCGGACTCGAGTTCTGGGGAGAAATGCGTCCAGTGTCCCAGCCAGTGACCCCTTCGGGGCCCAGTGTCACCAGGGAGGGGAAGGGGCACACCGGGAGCCTGAGTGTCGGGTCACGACCCCTGGTGGCACCAAGCGGAAGCGTCCACCGCGGTGCTCCCACGAGTCTGCCGCAGCCCGGTTGCTCCCGCGAGCACCGTGGAAGGCGCGGCTCCTCAGCGCGCCCCAGTCCCTGTCCGCAGCGGGGCCGCTGTCCCGAGGCCCGGGATCCACGATGCTCGCATCCTGGGGGCCCAGGGCGGTGGCCCAGTTTCCCCGCCAGTCGAGCGTCCCAGCCCGTCCAGGGCGGCCCCAGGAACCTCCTCCGCAGCCGGCGCTGCCTTATAAGGCGGGGGAACGGCGCCACACCTCTCCCGGGCCCCGCCTCGCCCCGCCCCGCCCTCCCGGTCCCGAGCGCCTGGCCGGCACGAAGCGCAGCGCAGCCGCAGCGGGAGCCGAGGAGCGGAGCCAGCCATGGGCAGTTCAGGTGAGCCGCCCAGCCGGGTGCGAGGGGGACTCCCGGCCCTGGGCTCTCGGACCCTGCCCTCACCCTGCCCTCCGCGGACCCCGACAGCGGAGCGATCTGGTTCTCCGAGCGCGGAACTCGGCTCGGACTTCGATGCGGGACCCCGGGGTGCAGGATGGAGGGCGCGCGGGACAAAGCGCCCAGACGGGCAGTGCAGGGCAGTTTCTTGGGCAACCAGGGAGCCAGAGTGGCTGAGGGCACCCGCAGAGAGGGAGGGAAGGCGAATCGGAGGGAGGGTCTCGTTCGGCTGTGAGCCAGAGATTGCGTCAGGGAGGGCTTCCAGGGGCTAATGGGATTAGCGCTCCGCGTCCGGCCAAGGCGTGGCTTTGCTTTGTTTCAGGAGAAGAACAAAGTTACCGTTAGAAAAAGACCCCCAAACTGTGGCAGCATCTCTCCCTGCAAAAACAGCTTGCCCCTTTTCAACCCTCTTAAGAACAGCTCTGAGCAACCTTTTCATTCTTTCTTGGCTTCTCTCCTGAGCTCCTCCGTGCCAGGTCAGGTGCCAGGTGCAGCCTGGCTCCCTAGTTTGTCTCTGACCTGTTGCTGCCCATCCTCACCATGGTGGCTGTCATGGTGAAGTTTCTGAAACACGGAACTCCTGTCACTTCCTGTTTCCACCCCAACTTCTGCGAGGTGAAAGGGCACACTGTGAGCACCACCATCAGGCCCTCTGGGCATTGGTTGCCACCTTAGGCCTGCACCCTGCTCTGCAGCTGGCACTCTGGTCCCTTGCCTGGGTGCCCTTGTCCAGTCCTCACCACCCCCAGCCCCAACCCGACAGTTCTCCCCGCCCTTGTAAGCTCCTGGGAGCCCATCACCCTTCATTCCTTGACAGAGGGACAGCCAGCCCCTCATGGTCTTTGCTACAGCCCCTCCTGCATGCGCCTCGTCCAGTTGTTCACAGATAGACCTGCTGTCCCCAGACTCACTCCTGGCCCTCAAGGCTGTCTGTGTTTATCTCAGTATAGTTCCTGCCTCAGAGGACACTGAAGAACAGCTGGAGATCAGAGCTCAGAAGTCCTGCTTTACAGGCGTTATGAGGCTCAGATGACTACGGTTTGGTCCTTTCTTGGATCTGTCTTCCAAGACCTGGACTCCTGAGGTGCCAGCACTGGGAGGAAGTGCCTTCCCCTGCCATTGGTCCTAACCTGCTTTACCTCAGGCTGCAGTGGCAGGTCTGGCTTGAGAGCCCTGGCCCTGCTGATCACTTGCTGTATGAGATTAAGCCCTTCCCTTTACCCCTCCATGCCTCAGTTTGCCCATCTGTACAATGAGGGCAGCCCATATGATCCCCAGGGTCCTTCGCAGAATGGAAGGGTGACAGAAGAGATTGTGGAACACAATGGTAGGTGCTGATGGGGCAAATTATGGCTGCTGTGAGAGAGCACGTTGAGATCTCAAGAAATCAGCTTCTCTGTAGATTTAGGGGAAAAATCCACAAATTCTCTACAACTACATTTTAGTCAGTTTTATTTCTCGCTTTTTCCCCAAGACAGTTTTCAAGAACTGCTAATATTCAGCTGTGTACCCATTCTTCTACCTGTTCATTCCTCTCTCTCCTCTTCATCCCTCTTCCCATCCTTCCTTCCTTTCTTCCTTTTTGTTTTCTTTTTTTCCTTCTTTCTTGTGGGGCTGAGGATGGAACCTGAGGCCTTATACATGCTAGGCCAGTGCTTCAGTACTGCACTGCAACTCAAGCCACCCCCATCTGTCATCTCCACCAAGCTGTGGACTCAGTGCTTGGAGCCATGGCTCTATCCTCAGTAGTGCTCATTTGAATTGTAAAATGAATAAAGCTGGTGGAGCACTTGCTTGGCACTGCAAAAATAAATTGAGGCTGGGTGTGGTGGTGCACACCTGTAGTCCCAGCACTTGGGAGGATGAGGCAGGAGGATCACCTGGTCAGCCTGGGGTGCATGGTGAGTTCAAGACCAGCCTGAACTGCACAGTGAGACCCTGTCTTAAAAAAAAATTAATAAATTGAGTAAGCTGGTCTGGGGATAGAAAGGCACCATAATACTTCAGTAAGAGATGGGAAGTAATCTAAGTCAGGCAGCATCCAGATGAAGGATAGGAAGAGATGTACTGTCAGAGGCTTGCCAAAGGCTCCTGAGAAAGTGGTCAGTCCCATAGAGTCATGGGAATTTGGGCTTTATATTATAGGACCTGGAGTTCCATTGAACATGGAAGGACCAGAGTTGTGTTAGGATGGAGGGAGGATCAGAAGGGGAGAGGATGGAGGTGGGAGATGGAGGAAACATCTGCAATCACAGACAAGAGGACACAGCCATATAGGGTGGAGTTGAAGGCTAGAGAGAAGGAGATGGATTTGCAAGATGGTGGCATTGAGCAGTCCTGGTGACAACTTACTGGGAAGGACCAGAGGCGTGAATCTGGGTACAAGATAGCAGTGATGTAGGACTAGAGATCTAGCTTTGACAGCTTGCAGAGGAGGATGACTCCACACTCTGAAGGGGCTGGTGGCAGAAGAGAAGTTAGAGCTGGTTGAGTTAGATGCCCCCTCCACATGCTCAGGTATCTTCCAGAATCCTAGTCCAGGCCTAACTCCCATATAGTCCAATGCATTGTATTTGTTTTTCCTGTATAAGACTGAACCACCAGCTTAGTGTCTAGCTCTTTTTAAAAATTAAAAACAATTTTTTAATTAAGCTTATTGGTACAATTTAGATATACTCTAGCTCTTCTAAGGGGCCCTAAGAAGTGATTTCTGAGTGAACAAAGTGAGTCTTCAGCATAAGCCCAACCTTGAAGTTCCAGGCCACCAGCTGGGGTTTCTGTCTGCACTCAGGAAAGGTAGCACTGATGGGTGTGGACCCACTTAGGGTCTATGTGACTCCAAAATGACTACCATAAAGCATCGGTCCCTGCCTCTTCTGGGTCTCAGTTTCTTCATCACTGTTCAAGACCCAGGCTCTTTTCATCCCTGGCCTCAGATATGGCCCCAGAGCTGTTTGGAGTAATGGGCAATCCTGTGACGTCCTCACAGCTGACCAGGCTCCACTCCCAGAAGATACTCTGTACAATGTGGGGAGATCCAAGGTCCAGCTCCCAGCCCTGCTCTCTCGAGCTCAGTGTGCAGAAAGTGTTCTGGGCAGAAGAAGCCAATGGCCTTGAGCTCAGTGGAAGCCTCTTGCCCTAATAATAATGATTACCAATCATTACGCTTCTACTGCACACCAAGAATACAGCTAGGTATTTCATGTTACGAAGCTTTGTAACTGCACACCAAGGCTGTTACTGTCAACTCATTTTATAAACTTACAAAGTTTCAGTCCCTTGCCCTAGTTCACACCCTGACCAGTAAGAACAAACTGGGATTTGAACCCAGCTCTCTGTCTGCCCAGATGGACTCTTGCCACTGGGGACCCCCTCCCCTGTTGTCTCTAAGAATCATGGTGTCTCTGAACACAGGTCTCCTAGCATCAGAGGCTATCAGAGCAGAAGGCCTTTAAGGACTAACTAGCCCAGGAATTTTCTACTGTGTGGGACCCTCTGCAGGCAGAGGCTGTGAGGGTCACATCAACCCCAGCAGTTCCCCTTTCATCTGTTTTCTTGCCGGTTTCATTCAAAGCAAGGGTTTCCTTGCTTTGAAGGCATTTTGAAAACCACAGCTCTCAGCCCTTCCTTTGCACACAGATGGGGAACCCGGGGCCTAGGGTGCAGGGACTTTTGGCTAGGCAGGCCTGAGTAACATAGGCAGGGTTGGAGGTTGGCCAGCCCAGCAAGCATGATCCCCTGCCCAGGGTCCTTCAAGCCTCCCTCAACCATATGTATCTGGGCATCTATTGGAGAGGCACCCTGGAGGAGGTATTGCTCCAGGAAATGTTCCTTGTTTCATAAGCACTTGAGCAAGCCTTCACTGCCTCTTTTTTTATTAGGAAAAGACGTAACTGTATGGAAAGTGGACTCACTGGATGATCTTGGGCAGTTCACATACTGCCCCAGACCCTGATTTCCACATCTGTTCTCATACTTTCACTGTGCAGGAGTGACAACTTCATTCATTTGTTCACTCACCCATTTACATGGCAAACATCCAGGCATGCAGGTACTGAAAGATGCCTTCAACAATCTTTTTTGTTTCTTTTGAAATGGAGTCTTGCTATGTTGTCCAGGCTGGTCTCAAACTCCTGGGCTTAAGCTACCCTCCTACACCAGCCTCCTAAGTAGCTGGACTACAGGTGCTCTGCTTAACAATCAACATGAATACAGTCAAACTTGGATTGTGAGTAACTTGGTTTGCGAATGTTGGGCAAGATGAACAAACACTTCTAAGAAATTTTAACTTGATAAATGAACAATATCTTGCAATACGGGTAGTATGTCACCCTAAATGTCACAGGATCTCAACTGGCTCTCTCTCTCTTTCTCTCTCTCTCTCTCTGCTTTGATATACAAATGCTTTGAATTATGAGCAGAATGAATTATTCTTGCAAACCAAAGTTTTACTGTACTAGCATCCCTGCTTGCATTAAAGCCAGGAAAGAGATCAGATGGGGCAGGTTCTCCCGAAGCCAGAGCTGAAGGGTTTCCACCCAATAGTTAGAAGTGTAATTGACATTTTAAAATTGTTCATTATGTTCCAGAACTGTCCTAAAGCATTTATGTAGATTAATTCACTTAATTCTCACAACTACCTTGTGGGGTAGCTACTGGTACCCTCATTTTATATATGGGGAAATGCAGCCGAGATGGGTTAAACAGCAGGAGCCAGATCACAGTAAATAAAAGTCAGAGCTAGGATTCACCCTTGAATTGTCAGAAACCCAGGCTTTAGGAGCAGGAGCTATCCACTGGGCATTCTTTCTTACTTTTTTTTTTCCTAGTTATCGACTTTTTTACTCCTTCCTGATAAACAGGCAAAACCAGCTTTGCCCCAAAGTTGGGACCAGGTTGCTGCCCAGCCTCTTGCCAAGGTGACAGAAGGGGCCACTTTACATTTCCTGCCCTGTCCCTTGTCATGGTCTCCTTCATAAGGAGTCTGGAGAGGCCGGAGGAGTCAGGGAGACCCCAGAGGAGAAGATGATGTTGAGAGAGAAACCTGGTTATGCCCAAAGGCGGAGAAGCTTTCTTCAGCCTCCAGAGCCTGTGCCTTCAAAGGACTGTCAAGGGTCCGGAAGAGCCCTATCTGGGATTTCTGCGCTCCGCACCCCAGCAAATGGCTGCCCTTCCTGTCCCTCAGTTCCAGGCAGTCCCTGCCACCTCCAGCAGCCCCGGTCACGACAGCCTCATGATCCCTAGCTTGCTGGGACCTCTGAGGAACTTGACACAAAGGAAGCTCTTGAGAAATCATAATTCTTTTCTCCACTTCCTTCCTACCTCTTCTTTCCCTTAAGAGATCAAAAGGCAGCAGCCTGGTGTCTCTCTCTGCTGCTCTCTTCAGCTGGCCCCACTCAGCAGGATCCATTTCCTAGGTGACCCATCTGTCATTCCCTTTGGCTTGTGACCTGTGGGCTGTAGGGTGGGGGCTTGGGACAGGGCCTTGTGTCTAATCCAGCTTCCCCCACAATGGACTCATCCCTGGACTATTTTGGGAATTTGTATGGCTTACTTAACTTCTCAAGCTTCAATTTCTTAGTCATAAAAATGAATACAGTACTGGAAGCTCCCACAAAGGTAGTGAGAAGTTAAGAAGGGCACACACAATTCCAGCACCAGAAATAGTTGGCCGGCAAGCAGGAGATAGCATGAGCACAGTGTGAATGGGCCTGCCTCTCCCTACTTCTGAGCTGGCACTCTGAGTCTGTGTGACCTTTCTGAGCCATCAAGTGGCTGAGGGCTCTCCCTGCCTAACTGGGGATGGTGGCTTTTCTTTGACTTTCCCTCCTATGTTTGTCTTTGATCTTGGGTTTTTGTACAGAAGTGAGTATGCCTCTTACAAGGTATGGTCACTGTTGATAACTTGCCTCCCTGGGCTCACGCCCTGCTCAAAGGAGTCACCTGAGCTAGGACTGTTTGCTGGGGTAGGAGGGAACTCTTGGGACTGCCCCATGCTCCCAGCCAGGGTAGGAGCAGACTCCCTGCTGAGATCTCCTGGCCCAGGGAGCCTAGCTCTACTGGGAACAGTGCCTGGCTTCGACTTCTGGGCACTGAAGTTGGATTGGGCACAGGAACTTTCACTTCTGTTTCTTCTGACTTGCCTGATTCTGAGAGTGCAGTGACCTAGTTTTTAGCAGCCTTATATGTCCCTCTCTGCCAAGGAGGCTGCAGAACCTACAGCACATGGGAACTGGAAGGGACTTTCAGATAGGCCTGGCCAAGCCTGTCACTCAGATGGGAGCTCTTCGTCACCTTGTACGCCCACACGTGCCTTGCCTGTACACATATACTTGTTTTGATCACTCTGACTCCTTAAAGAAGCTCAGGAAACCCCTGGAACTCTTAATTCATCTTGTCTCCTCTCACCTACAGCCCAATGGGACCTCAGCATTAGGCAGAGCTTCAGGGTCATCTGAGTCTTCACTGAGGCCCTGAATCCTGCTGAGAGGGGCTCACCTGATTGCATGCGCCTAGTGCTAGACAGCTCAGCACTGTGTGAGGTAGCTCTTTTCTGGCTTCAGAAAGCTTTCATTGGAAGAAACGTCTTAGTCTAAGATGAAATCTTTCAACCTGCCCTTTCTGCCTATCGGCCCTAGCTTTGCCCTATTAGGGTCCCAGAATTCATCAGGAGCCCCCAAGTCTGGTTCTCCAGGGCGACCATACCCAGAACTGACAGCCAATCCTCACAAGAACCCATAACCAGCCTCTGAACACATGTCAAAGGATTGCCTCTTATCATACAAGGCAGGTACTCGGTTGGGTGAAGCCTCTCATCACCCAGGAGCCTGTGGTTTCTGGCCAGCACACCCCCTGCTGCTGGCTCCTCCACCTACTGTCTGCAAGCCCCCAACTCCCACGAGTTGCTCTGGCCCCCCTACTTCCCCCAGAAACACATCTCATAAAATGTACTATCTTAGCAGTGATTAGTCAGCAGTAGTAAGTGCATTTACACTGCTATGAAACAGCTCCAGGACCTTTTTTTATCTTCCAGAGCTGAAACTCTATACTCATTAAACATCACCTCCTTTTTCCTGTTGCCCTAGGAGACCTGAAATCCTTGTCTTTCCTGTCAACAAGGGTGAGGCCCTCCTCTGGTCCCAAAGACCTGAGGGCTTCAAGTTGTAGCTCCACCTCCTGCTTATTCCTAGTCACTGGTTACCATGGTTTTTACTTCATGCCCTCCTCCTGTCTCCCCATCTCTATCTGTCAACTAAACCTTGCAGGTGATCCCTGTCATACCTGCCCCGCTCACATTCCTTTGTAGCCACCCTAAGCCCCAGAGTCTGTGCTCAGGCTACTTCCTCTCTAATTGATTGGAAAGCCCTTGGGTTCCTAAACTGCTGCAGGCAGGAGCTGTGAAGGCCAGCCCTGGGTCTCCTTCACTCAGAGGCCCCATGATATTTTGCCTTGAAGGTCCGTCTCAGTCTGAAGGATAGGGGAGGAGAGCTCCTTGTTGGGCCATCTCCTCAGTCTTGGGTGAAAAGGCAGCAGAGAAGGGCAATGGTAGATATGACCTAGGGCAGAGGAAGGAGTATGGCACTTCCTTCATGCTCTGGTTTATACCCTTCCTGCCGCCACCCACAGCCAGACCTCAAAGAGGGACCAGCCTTCTGTGGCCTTTACTCACAGTCTACCCCACTCACTCCTTTATCCACAGAGGGCAAATCCTAAGGAATACTTTATACATGGTACCTAGTTCCTTTATGATCTTAGCCTGGCTGGCCCCGGTTCAGACCTGTTTGGGGCCTCAAATCAGGGGTCACCTCCTTCACGATCCCCGGAACTTTTAGGTGGCTCTTCAAGTTCCTCTTGCACCAGTGGTTACTTGCATTGTGCCACCTATTGTAACAAATAAAAGGAGAAAGAAAAATTTGCAGCAGAGACAGGCTTTACTTAAGATAAAGACCTGAGAGAGGCCATTGGGTCTGAAATGCCAAAAACACCTCTCTTACAGAGTAAGGGTTTATAAGGTGTAAAGGGAATGAGGAAAGGGCCTGCTGTTCTCAGGATCGGTTCTTTGACTCTGTGGTCACTGGCCCATTCTGTGTGTGTTTCTGTTCAAGAGACTGAACACCCTGTATCTAAAATGTTTTGTACAGTAAACAGATTTAATGGGGTTCATAATTACAGGGCACAAGAATGTGGGTCAGGGTCGCATCTCAGAGGAAAATGTCCACTGGCTTTTCCTTTCACCTGTCACACTACTATCATGTTTACAAGGCCGTCTCCCCTCTGTGTGCATTTGAGGGCAAGACCTGGCTGATTTGTCTCTGACCCCTAGCACACAGTGTGAGGCCTGGCATGTAGGAGGCACTCCAAGAGCAGAACAGATAAATGGATTGGGATTGAATGGATGGTGGAGGGATGGATGCTGCTGCTGAACAAAAGACGAATGAGTATGGGATGAATGATGGAGGTTTGGATGGGTGGATGGGTGGTTGATTTGGGATGGGTGTTGAATGGATAGGTAGAAGATGCTGGATGGGGCTCCATTTTAGATCCAAATTTTTGGGCTGTTCATTGTTGATGTTGCCTGCCCTTGGCTGCACTCACTTATTTGCTGTCTAACCCCAGCCCAGTAGACCTTGCCTTTTCTGAGGTTAGTGCCCAATTAGGGGTAGGCTCCACCTTTTTCCTCACTGCAGCCCCAGGCCCAGCCACTCACATCCTGTCCTTTATCTGCATCACTACTGCTTTCTTTTCTATACTCTCCCCTTATTCCATTTCCCAAATGCTGCCTTCTCTCATCATCTTTTCTTTTCTGAGATGGGGTCTCACCACGTTACCCAGTCTGGCTTCAAATTCCTGGGCTCAAGTGACCCTCTAGGCCACCGGCCCCTGCATAAATAGGACTACAGTTGTGTGCCACTGTGCCCAGCTTCATTCTCTTTTCTTTATCCTTCTGTCTGATTTCAAGACACCTTCCATCCCAGCTAGGCTGCTTCTCTCTGGGCTCCCAACTTTAGCCCTTCCCAGCCCCGCATAGGTCTAGCCTGAGATTTCCAGTCTCCTTCTGACTTTCTCTCTCAGCGCTTCTGTTGCTGACTCTCCAGCCCCTCAACCTCTGCTCTGCACGTCCCATCCGTCCCCCACTCAGCAGTCAGCAGGATCAGAAACACAAGTCCAGTCAGCTCCTTCCTCTGCTCTTGCCCAGCACCTTCCTGTTGCCTTGGATAAAGACCCAAACCCCTATCATGGCCCAGAGGCCCCACATAGTCCATTGGTTTAGACATGCAGAGACACGGAGGGAAGGCATCAGGATGAGCGCTGGTGAGGAGCAGGGCCATTTGGCTTGGATTCCAGTGTCCGAAGGGACCACAGTCTATCCATGTGACCTGAGGACGGAGCTGGGTGTTGCTCTGACGTATGCCTTGTACTTTTAGTGGGGTTCTTTTCTCTGTGCTGAGCCATTCTCCTTTTATCATCATTCCAGCTTCCAAACAGTTTCATAATGAGGCCCTGAAGGCCCACAATGAGTACCGACAGCAGCATGGCGCCCCCCCTCTGAAGCTCTGCAAGAAGCTCAACCAAGAGGCCCAGCAGTGAGTCCCCAGTGTCCAGAGGCTCAGGCCCTTCGGAAGGCTGCTGCTGCAGCCCCTGAGGGGAAAGGGGTGGTTGGAGCAATGTGGGTTTGGGGATTAGATATAACAAGGCTTGGATATCACTCTGCCACTTACCCAGGCAAGTCCCGAGGCTCCTCTGAGCCTCAGTTTGCTCCTCCGAAAAATGGGACTGCTGGGAAGCCCACAGGCCATTCGTGTGTGATGCACCCTTATGCCCTCTGCAAGCTCAGGCAGGGAGAAAGAAGGAAGCTCAGTCACACCAGCCTGGGGCACAGACACTGTGTGGAGTGTCCCCTGGGGTGTGCCTGCTCTGAGGAAATACCATGGATTCCGGCAGGTATGCTGAAGCCCTGGCCAACACGAGGATCCTCAAGCACAGCCCAGAGTCCAGCCGAGGCCAGTGTGGGGAGAACCTTGCATGGGCATCATACGATCAGACAGGTGGGTCGCTTCCTTGGGCCCCCTCGCTGCTGCTCCTGGAGCTGGGCCTACGCCAGGGCCTCTTCAGCACTTTTTGTGGTTTAGGTGTGGTGTAGCCGCAGACCTGGGAAGGGAAAGGAAACCCAGGGTTCTCCATCTCTGCTCTAAGGCTGACTCCTTCACCGCGTCCCTGAGGGTCGACTCAGGGCTAGGGCCGTGCTGGGAGCCAGGGACACAGAATGAATCACACTGACTTGCCTCCCCTGTGGAATCTCCCTGGCTGAGGAGTGGGGGCAGGAGAGGACAATTTCTGGACAGTGTCTCAGCCCAATTCTGTGGAGGCCAAAGCATTCCCAGCTATTGAGAAATTTTGCTTCCTTCCCAGTTTTCTAAATTATTTTTTATAGTGCTGGCATATTGCTTTTATAACCAGAGAAAAGTGATAGAGCCTTTTTCCATTTTGGAAAAAAAAAAATGAAAAAGACAATTCCTCCATTTGTCTCAGTCTGGAAAGATCCCACTATAGTGACCAAACGTTCTTGAGCTTTTCTGCTCCTCCAGCCCAGAAATGGCTTTTTAGGAAAAATATCAGAGAAGGCTGTCTGATCCCTGAGGTTTTCGCCAAACCTCCTCTGGAAGATGACTCACTCTCTCCCCAGCCTCACATTCCTGGGAGATCCCTGGGGAACCCCTGGGGCCTCTTGGTTTTCCCAGCATAGCAGAGCAAGGCCTCCCCTGGAGGGAGCTGTGTGCCTGCTCCAGCAGAAGCAGGAGCCCGCCCCCACCCCCACCCCCAGACCTCCCCTCACCCCGCAGGCTCCTGCAGACCCAGGCTCTGGCCAGCTTGGGAGAAGGCTGGGGCTGGAAAGACGCTTAAGTGGCAGTCAGGAGATGTAGGTCCTTCCCACCCTTGAGCCAGATCCCAGGGGCACTGTGATCAAGTCACTGCCCTCTCTGCACCGTTTCCCCACCTCTACCGAGAAGGGGTTGCCTTAGGTAGTCTATAAAACAGTGGTCCCCGCCCTGGCTATACATTGAAATGTTATTCAGAGCTTTTAGAAAATATCAGTGCTTGGGTTTCTTCTCCAGAGAGACTGCTACAACCAGTCTGAGGAAGGACCCAGGCCCTAGTTAGGTTTTTTTGTTTTGTTTTGGTTTTTTGATACAGGGTCTCACTATGTAGTTCACACTGGTCTTGAACTCACTGTGTACCCCAGGCTGGCCTTAAAGTCATAGCAATCCTCCTCCTGCCTCAGCCTCCCCAGTGCTGGGATTACAGGCATGTGCCACCACGCCTGGCCCCAGGCCCAGCCCCAGGCCCTAGTTTTCAGAAATGGTCCTAAGGTGAGGTTAATGTATGGTTTGTGAACCAGCAGCAGCATGTTATTTGTTAGAAAACCAGATACATGGGCTACTGAAATTGGAGTCTACATTTCAACAAGATCCCCAAGTGATTCCTAGTCAAAATAAAACTTAAGACCTCCTGCCCTGACCTCTAGTTCCCAGCTCTAGACCTTCGATCCTGCAGGTGCCTCCTGCACCACTTGCAGGCCAGGGGAATCCCCAGGCGAGTGCTCTCCTACAAAGTAGAGACCCCGGGCCACTAGCCCAGCCATCTTTCTCCCTGTGGGTATTTCAGGAGCCAGATGTGGGGTGGGATAAAGGAGTCTCCCAGAAACTCTGAGTGCCTTTAGAAGGGCTTTGGAGTGCACTGTGTTCAACCTTCCTGTTGACCTAGCAGAGGGCAGGGACCTTGCTGCAGGACCCCTGATCCCAGACCTTTTGAGCCCTGGCCAAGGCTCTTCCCAGCTTCCATTGGGGCTTGCTCTTCAGCCCGGATGTGCCATGGGCAAGAGCCTCCAGGAGGGGCTTCATCAGACCCCTAATTGTGGGGTCTGTGGAGAAGATGGAGAGATTGCAGAGTTTGGATTTTGTTGCTGAATGACTTTTCCACACAGGAAAGGAGGTGGCTGATAGATGGTACAGTGAAATCAAGGACTACAACTTCCAGCAGCCTGGCTTCACCTCTGGGACTGGTGAGTGATGGCATGCCGGTGGCCTGGACAAGTTGCAGGTTGGGTGTCTGTGTCTGTCTTCGGCGGTGGCAAAGTTCTCCTTTCCCTGACACCTCCCCAAACTGTTCCCCTAACCACATGTGCACCTTCCATCTGCCCCCAGCTCAAAGCTCTGCACATTCCTGCAGTGTGGCATCTGGAGACTGGATGGTAAAGGCTGCTGAGAGCTGTGTTCCCTAGTTGGTGCCTCAGCCCTTTAACTGGTCACTCTACTTTTCTAGTCTTTTTTCCTTCAGTCCTTCCCATTCTCCAACAGTTAGATTTCTTTTTTGTTGTTGTTGTTGTTTGTTTTTTGAGACAGGGTCTTGCTATGTAATCCAGGCTGGCTTCAAATTTGTATGATCCTCAGCTTCCCAAGGGCGGGGATTATAGGCATGCACCACCACATTCAAACACTTCTCTCTTTTTTTGGTACCAGAGATCGAACTCGGGACCTTGCTCTTTCGAGGCAGGTGGAGGAACCACTGAGCTAAATCCCTGGCCCTATTTTTTATTTTTTATTTTTTTCAGTACTGGGGATCGAACACAGGACTTTGAGCTTGCAAGGCAGGCATGTTGCCACTGAGTTAAATCACCAGCCACATGACCACCACATCTAGCTCAGAAGATTTCTAAAATCCTCTCTGTCCCAGTGCTCTCTTCAAACTGCTGTGGCTCCCTGGGGCCAGCAGGAAAAGGATCAGGCCAGTCTTACCTTCCTCTTCTCTTTGTTCTGCCTCTTTCCTGCCCACCGTCTCCCCTCCCTGATATTCTCCCTCGTCTTTCCACTCTACAGTGTAGTTCAGGTGAGCGTGGGCTGCAGAAAAGCTGGATCTTGCCTTAGCTCTGATACTATTTGTTGTGTGAACTTGGGTCATTTCTTTTTTTCTTCTTTGTCTAAGGTAGATGGACACAGTGGTGGTTTCTAAGGGGCATTCTGAGAGCTAGTGATTCAAATGTAGGGAGGAGCCTTCATGGGGACAATTGCCTTTCTCATAGACCTCTTCCGGGGTGAGTGATAAACATTTACTTAGTTCATTAAAGCTCTGAGAAAGCCAAGTATTGTGTCATATACCTGTAATCCCAGTACTCTGGGAGGCTGAGACAGGAGGATCCCAAGTTTGAACCTAGCCTGGGCAACTTTGTGACTTAGCAAGACTATCTCAAAATTAAAAAGGGCTGTTGATATAGATCATGTGAAAGCCTGGAGTTCAATGCCCAGGACCACAAATCAGTCAATAAAAATAAATCCCTGAGCAGCTGGACTCCCTCTCGCCCTTTGCTGACCTCACCAGGTACCTGTCTTTCCTCAGAGCTGACTTAGACTCTGCCTCTGCCGCAGATGGGGTCAGAAGGAGTGTGAGTCCGGTTGGAAGGCATCCAGGAACTGAAAAGGGAACTGTTGGCCTTCGCCATCCCCTCTGTCTGCCTTCCCACCCATGGATAGAGCCCATTGGGCCTCCTACCCACAGAAGGATTTCTTCATAAGCAGGAAGTGATGTTTTCAGAGCCAGTCACAGTTTCCTGTGGTTTGCTGCTCACTCTTTCAGAGTAGGGGTTCTTGCAACATGTGGCTAGGACTCTGGGGCATTGCTCTTTCTGGTTAGCTCCGCAAACCTCAAGTGAGAGCTGACATTGCTGGAGAATGATCGGGGAGGGAGCAGGGGTTAAAGATGTGCAGGCAGAGCCTTGTTTTCTTTTAATACAGATCCAGAAGTGTTTTATTTCATAGCTTCTAGAATTGCTTTTCCTATGAACAAGATTCTTGAGCAATCAGACATGAGTGGGAGTGAGTTCTTGGCACTGTTCCTGCTGCACACCACCAAGTAGCAATGAAGCCTCCACATCCACCACCTCGATAGCCTCGCAGCACCACTTCAGAGCAGGGCTTTATTCTGCCATTGTGCAGAAGAGGACTCTGAGGCCTGCAAAGGGCAAGAGGCTTTTCTTATGCCTTCTGTCCTTGGTTGGATGCCTCTTCCATGGTCCTTGCTCCAAGGCAGGAATCTCACAAGAATCAGAGCTAGGAATGGGGCTCAAATCCCCATGATAGCTGACCAGCTGTCCGTTACCTCATATCTCTCATCCCTAAAGGGGAAAACCCCAGAAAGCCAGCCCTGTGTCATCCCAGGCACCAGTGGACAGTGCTGGGGATGGACAGAGCATGAGCTGGCTTGTAAGACTCTTGAAGATCCTCGTGCCTATCCTGACTCAGCCTAATGCTGCACCATCATTTAGGGGTTCTCTGCCCTGAGTCCATTTTGTAGGTGAAAGGCCTTCGAGATACCCTAAAATATATCTGCACCCTCAGCCCACCCCGGGCCAGCATCTTGTGATAAAGGACTGACCCTTGCTTTGTGCAACATGAAGAGAAACATTTCTTATGCTTACTTTATCATATTCTGTTTAAATGAGTAGGTTTGTTTATTTATTCTGCATAAGTAATCCTTTTAAATGATATGGAATTTGAAAGTGATAAAGTATAGGCTACATAAGCTCTGACCTCTGACATTTTCCTTCCAAGAGGTAACCAGTTACAACAGTTTCTTATATACCATTTTTTGTTGTTGTTTTGGTTTTTTGTTGTTTTTTTTTTGAGACAGTGTCTTGCTATAGTCTTTGCCATAGCAAAGCTGCTATGTAATACAGGCTGGCCTCAAACTTGCAATCCTCTTACCTTAGCTTCCTGGGGGCTAGGATTATAGTCATGGCTCATGGCTAGCTTTTTATTCTAGTTATCTGAGCTTGTGTCAACATGGGTGTGTATATGAACTCTTTTTCCCTTTTTTTATATGCTGGTGTCAGAGTATGTGACCTGCTTCACACTTGTCAAAAATTGTTCCTTATCAGTAAAAGAGTTTTGATAGTCATTGCACATTATTCCTTTGCAAGGATATACTGTAATTTATACAGTGTGTTTTTCAAAGGCATATTCCGGGAACTTGGGTTCACATCAAGAAAGAGGATGTGATCCTTCAAGAAAAGAAAAAGGAACTGTTATTAGTAGACTGGAGTTAGAAACCAGTGTGTATCTGATGGTTGGCAAGGAAGCTGTATCCTTTAATTAATCTCTAAATACCTCTAATTTAATTATCTCTGCAAATAGAAACCTCCTCAGCAAGAGGAAAAAGATGACTTTGGAAAAAGCTGCCATCAGCATTTATGCTGCTGATATGCACTTGTATCTAATCATTTTCTTGACACCTAGTGAATGAATGGAGGCTTCTTGTTTCTCCAGGAGAGCGAGAGAGGGAATGGTTAATGGTCAATACAAGAAGGCTTGTGGGAGAAAGGGTTTGAGCCCTGGCCAAGAGGCAGCCCAGAGAAGCAGTTATACCGGGTGAAGCTGCCAAGTGCCTGGAGCTATGGTCAGTATCATTAAGGACCAAGGGTGAATGGGCAAGAAGTTTTCTTCTGTTCAGAGTGGGAAGCCAGAGTTTATTGAACAGAGGTCGATCCAAGTTAGTGATGAAGATGTGTACTTGTACTTAGGGTTTATTTTCCTTTCATTCTTGCTTCAGGTGTATCATATTGTTGATATGAATTAGCATTTCTATTTGGCTGTTTTGTTTTGTTTTTGTTTTGCAGTACTGGGCATTGAACCCAGGGCCTATGTACTGAGCTACATCTCCCACCCAACCCCTCTTTAATTTTGAGACAGATTCTCACTAAGTGGCACAGGCTGGACTTGAACTTTCCATCTTAAAGGATGGAAAATGTTTTGGCTCATATATTCAGAGGTTTCAGTCCATGGTCAATGACTCCATTGCTGTTAGGCTTGTGGAAAGGAAGAAACATGGGAAAAGGGCATGCAGAGGAAAGCTGATCTTTTCACAGCAACCAGAGAAAAGAGATTGTACTGAGGGAAAGAGTTTTTTCTGTCTGGGCCCCACCCTTTTGGATGGTACCACCCACATTCAGGGCTGGTTTCCCTGCTCACTTTACCATCCCAGGCATCTCTGGAAACACCTTCACAGACACAGCCAGAAGTGTGCTCTACTAATTTCCTACATATCTGTCAATCCACTTAACTTGCCAATCAAGATTAACCATCACATCGCTCTTTAATTTTATAGTAAAACATATATGATATAAAACTTATCATTTTAACCATTTTTAAGTGTACAGTTCAGTGGCATTAAGTACATTCACATGTTATACAACCATTTATCCCCAGAACCCTTTCAAAAATATTTTTTAAATGGGAGATTAAACCCAAGGCCTTTCCACCAAGCTACTTCCTCAGCCCTTTTTTACTTTTTATTTTGAGACAGGGTCTCACTAAGTTGCTAATTTCCGAGGTTGAGCTCAGATTTGCTGTCCTCTTGCCTTAGCCTCCCAAAGTGCTGAGGTTACAGGCATGGACCACTGTGGCCAACTCTTTTTCACAAATTGAAACTCTATACCCCTTAAACAATAACTGTTCATCCCTCCTAACCCTGATACCCATATTCTACTTTTAGTCTCCATGAATTTAGCTACTCTGGTACCTCATGTAGGTGGAAACATGCAAAATTTCTCCCTTTATGTTATGCTTATTTTACTTAGCATAATTTTTTCAAGGTTTACGCACTTTGTGTTGTTATCAGAATTCCTTTTAAAACCTGTATATTTCATTGTATGTGTGTGTGTGTGTATATATATATATAACTTAATAAAACATATATATTTGCAACAAACAATGGATTATTGTACACATATGCACACTTATGCCATATTTTATTTACCCATTCATCAATGGACATTTGGGTCCTGTGACTGAGGCAATTGTCTAATCTCTGTCCTGTAAAAATGGATATATGGGGCCGGGGATTTAGCTCAGTGGTTCCGACACCTGCCTCGCAAGCACAAGGTACCCTGTTTGATCCCCGGTACCAAAAAAAAAAAAAATGGATGTATGAATATCTGAATCCCCATTTCAGTACTTTAGTAGTTTATACCTCGATGTGGGATTACTGAATCCTAAGGTGAATCTATGAGGATCTGCCATTGTGTCTTCCAAAGTAACTGAATCACTTTACATTCCCATGAACAATACACAAAAGGGCCAGGGATTTAGCTCAGTGGTTCCGGCACCTGCCTAGCAAGCGCAAGGACCCGAGTTCTATCCCCAGTACCAAAAACAAACAAAAAAACACCGAACAATACACAAGAGTTATCCAAGCATAAGACGTGTTCAGTAAATAAAAGGATGATTAAAAGGGCTTCTTTGAACAAGTGCCATTTTCAGCCTGAGTCCTAAAGGACAGCAAACTGTTGGTCATCACAGAGCTTTCCACAGTGGCCAATGTATTGCAAGGGCTCCTGTGGGAAACACCCTAGTGTTTTGTTTGGGGGTTTTTTTGTCTTGTTTTGTTTTTGTTTTTGAGACAAAGTCTTACTATATAGCCCAGGCTGGCCTTAAATTCATATCCTCCTCAGCTTCTTGAGTTCTTGGATTATAGGTGTGCATCACTGTGTTTAAGGAATGGAAAGGAGGCCACCAGGCCAAAGCATTAAATTTTATTCTAGCTGCAGTTAGAAGTGTGTGAAGGATTCTTATGCAGGAAAGGCAATGAATATGATTCATGTTCTCAAAATGATTGCTCTGGCCACTTAAGTGAAAAATGAATTGGAGGGGCCAAAGTGGATATCAAATAATAGGCAGTTCTTGCACTGGTCCAAAACAGAAACATTTGTGGTTGGGACCAAGGATTTAGAAGGAGATAGATTTGAGATGTCCTTTAAAGTTTAATTCTTCAGGGCTACTGAGAGGGATATCAGGGAAAGGGAAGATGCAGCCCACCCCTAGGAATGAGTGTATCGAGGTGCTGCTGGCACGAGAGGGACGGTTGGAAGAGGAGTTAATCTGTGGGGACCAAAGTTAGGTGTGAGTCTTAGTTGGATTACGTCTGAGGTACCTGTGAGTCATCCAAGTGGAAATATCCAGTAAGTCATTGTTCCTAGGACACAGAGCAGAGATTTGAGTAGGAGAAATAAACTTGGGAGCCAGGGAAAAGTAAACTCACCTAAACAAGAGTGTAGAGAAAAAAAAGACTGTGTCCAGTAAGATGAAGACAGAAAATGACCACTGGGCTGAGTATGGCATTGCACACCTGTAATCCCAGCACTCTGGGAGGCCAACAGGAGAATTGCAAGTTTGAGCCTCCACTAGGCAACTTAGCAAGACTCTATCTCAAAATTTTAAAATTTTAAAATGGGATGTAGCTCAGGGTGGAGATACTGGGTTCAAACCCCGGCACTGAAAGAAAAAAAAATGTGACCATTGCAGAGTATTGCACAGACTGCAGTTTGGGATTGGGGTTAGAAGCAGGTACCAGGTAGGGTAGTATTCTAATTACTGGGGTCAGTAGGCTTGGCAGTGATCTGAGAGACCACTGGAAAGTGCTGAGATGGCTGTAGCTGATTGAAAGGACCTACTTTAAAAAATCTGACTGTGAAAGCCAGATGTAGTAATGCATGCATATAATCCCAACACTCTGGGGGACAGAGGGAGGAGAATTGAAAGTTTGAGCCCAACTTGGGTAACTTAGTTACTTAGCAAGACCCTGTCTCAAAATTTAAAAAGGGCTGGGGATGTAGCTCAGTGCAAAGACACTGGGTTCAATCCCTATACCATACACACACGCACAAAATCTGATAGTTGAGACATATGTGGTGGCATATACCTGTAATCCCAGCACTTTAGGGACTGAGGCAGGAAGACCACTGAGAGTTTGAGGCCAGCTTGGGGTACAGCATGAATTCAAGGCCAGCTAGCCTGGATTGTATAGTGAGACCCTGTTTCAAACAACACAACAGTTGTGTTTGCCTCTTCCTCTGATTGGCATCTGCTAAGATCAAGCAGCCAAGCCTAGCAGGATAGGGAAAGGGTTCAAGAATCCCTCTTGACATCCCTCTCAAATCTCCACTTACTCATCTACTGCCCTCTCCCTCTATCTATTTCTTACAGGACACTTCACAGCCATGGTGTGGAAGAATACAAAGAAGATGGGAGTGGGGAAGGCTTCTGCAAGCGATGGGTCCTCCTTCGTGGTGGCCAGATACTTCCCAGCAGGAAATGTTGTCAACCAGGGCTTCTTTGAAGAAAATGTTCTACCTCCAAAGAAGTAACTTATCGATCATAACAGGAAGGCAGACGACTAAGAAGATGGATTTGAAGTGCCCTAGAACAGTGGGAGCCCACCTATGCATCTCTTCCTGTGGATGTATGTGCCTGTGTGTGATGCAGGTGGGCATCTCCTGTACACACACTTGGATCTATAGGTCATTGATAGTAAAGAAATGAGCAGCACCTGATGCATCTACCCAGAGATTACCCAGACCACAATTATTTGGATTTAGGAAGGCTATCAGTTTTTTAATTTTTTTGTTACTTTTTAAAGCAAACTTCTTTTGTACCTTTCTTACTTCTAATATTCATCCTTGGACATTTTGTATCCCAAATATTTATGATCCCAAGAAGTTTGTTTATACGATCTTCATGCATTGTATCTACTTTGGTAGATGTTTGAATATTAAACCCGCATTTCGATGTGACAGAGCTTTAAACACATAAAGCAGCTTGCATCAGAAGCATGGAGCAGCTAGGGGCTCCATTTCATAGAATCATCGAGATTTCTCAGTTGTAAGACATGATGTCATCCTGCATGCCTCTGGGGATCCTCTGATGGGATTGCCAAAGAACAAATGGAGAAAATAGCTTTACTTCCTTTCGTTTTTCTACTTTTGAATACCAAAGTACAGTACCACCACCACTCTTGCCACCCCCACACACCTTTTATCTTGAACTCTTCTACATTTCAGAGCTCCATATGCTGCTGGTGAGTTCAGCTAGGCCTGGAACACCCTTCCCGCCCTTGCTATGTGGCTGGCCTGATCTGGGAGAGAGCCCCTCACAATGCCTGGGCTCTGGGCCAAGAGGCCTTGGGTGGATAAAGTCAGTAGTATGGGGATGGAGTGAGCTCACTCAGGGGTCCTGGAGGAAGCCCAGCAGCCTCTGTCCTCCCCCAACACAGGGTAAAGCCCAAGCCAGTTCCTGGCAGCTGTGGCTGCAGCTGTGCTGCTATTCCCTCCAGGAATGTGTGACAAGCCCAAATGTTCCAGGGAGGTGTCCCAGGCAGGGGGGTTAGAATCCCTAATTTGGCTCTGGGTTTTGCCTCAAACTACAAGGTTCCCCTGAATAGCAGTTTTACAAGGTCCATCGGGGAGGGGCACTTAGCTGTCCCAGCTGAGTGTCCTTGAAACCATGGTATCTGAATCTGCCAAGGTAGCAGGGGCCCAGGCACTGGCCTAAAGTCTGGGACAGCCAGTCTTTGAAACAGCTTCTGAAGGTCTCTGTTGCAATATGAACAATCTCATGCTGTGCCCCTCATTTCATCTAGGGCATATTAATAATAAAATCTTTGTTTTGTATAATATCTTCCTCCAGTATGATTCATGCCCAATTCTTAGTTGGTGGCTGAGGCAATTCAGAACTCTGAATTCATATCACGAGTAACTCAAGCACCTGGGATACCTCTGACCCCTCCACTGTGGACTGCCCTGCTTAAGCAGCCAAGATTGGAACCATGTGACCCATGAACTCACAGCTGATTGGGCCACATGGACATCTGATCCAAGGGCAGCCAGTCCCTAGGCTGGTCATACATACTCTGGGAGTTGACCTAAGACTCGGGGAGAGAAGTTACCAGTAGAACTGAAAAAACTAAAGATAAGAATTCAAAATAGGGCCATGGCAAACCAAAGCCATATGCAGACCAGTTATATGAGTGGGAAAGTCAGAAGTGAAAAAGCCAGGTGTTAAAAGGGCCATAAGAAGAGGACACTAAAAGGGACTGTTTGTAAGTGTTCAACTTCCAGCTAATTCTATTATCAAAGCATGGCCCTCACTTTCTTCAGGATTCACAATACACTGACCTATTACACTGGTATTCTCTCAGGATTCAAATATTAGAGTACCCTCCCCAAGAATCTCCATGAACAACAAATGCTGAGTGGGTAAGTGAAGAGATCTGGCCCAGGTCCTTTTCTGGCCAGTGAACTCCCTGGTGGCTCCCAGGGACACCAATACACAAACACAGAGCCAGGTGGTGGAAGCAGGCATGCAGCCAGGCTCTATAGGCTGGACGGTTTCTACAGTTGGGGGGATTAAGAAAAAAGCTGCTTTCCAGAACTGAAAAAAAATAAAGCCAGACAGTGAAACCAGCTGAGCAGGTGGATGCTCTCACTTCTTTAATGGATTGTTTGAGACAGACTCTCATTATGTTACATATCCAGGCTGGCTTTGAACTCTTGGGCTCAAGCAGTCTTTCTGCATCGCCCTCCAAAGTAGCAGGAACTACAGCTATGTGCCTGCACCCATGGCTCTTCAGTAGTTTCTTAAAGATGGCAGTCCCATAACCCAATAAGACAGCACAGTTACATGGTCCACTCTCTCTTGCAGCCAGAGAGGAGGGCAGAAGATCTGAGTCTAAGCCCTAGTTCTGTGAGCTGAGTTCCCCACCCTGGGCCACTGTGGCCATCCAGAGAAGCCCTGGCACATAGATAGAGCCCAGCCTGTCAGGTGCTCTCAAGTCCCCCTCACAGCCCCAGGTCATCTCTGGATAGAAACATCTGATGAGAGAGCTTCCTGCTCTGGTGCTCTGGGATGCACTGACTCCCGATCCAGGGTAGAGACACCCCCAGAGGTCAGGTCTGCCCGCTGGATGCCAGTGGATCAGAGGATGTTGAGCATCAGCACTGAGAGGCATTGTCCTTCAGCCAAGCGGCCTCTGCTCCTCAGATCACAACTGGAGAAGCATTTGGTCTCAGTATTCTCCAAGAGCTGGGACAGGAGCTGAAACACAGTGATCTCTGGCAGAGGGAATGAATTCTGAGCCTTTCTCCCATGGGGGAGACAAGTTCTGAGACCTGTACAGATGCCATATAGGCATCAAGGTGAACAAAGCAGAATGATGATCCACCTCACCCCAGAAAGAATACATTTTGGCAATTGATATAAGAGAAATCTCCAGAATAAACTAAATTCCCTGGCTGTAGGAAATAGAGAAGAAAGGAACCACACAGGAGGGTGAGGACACATTTTTTTTTTTAATGATTTGGCATTTGAGATTTTCTTTATGATGGATTATGAGGGATTTTTCAACCTTAAAGGAAAAATAACTCTCTCTGAAAAAGTAGAAACTAGAAGTGGTAAAGGAGGATTTTCTAATGTCACAGAGTAACCTTGGAAATTCTGCCTTGAAACCTGAGAGTTATTTTTAAGATTTGTGCTGTTCAGCAATGGGCAGAGGCCAGTGGGGGGGGGGGGGGTCCAACCAAAAAGGTAGTTTAAAAAAAAGCAGAGTGATGGTCATATATATACATTTTTGGGGGACAGGGGCTTGAACTGGCAATCCTCTTAACGATGCCTCCTTTCTCAGGGCCTGGGGTTCTCTCCTGTGAAATGGGAAGACTCTTCTAGATGATCTGTTAAGGTCCACAGCCCATCCCCTTATCTCTCCTGCATGCACCACTCCCCACTGCCACACCCAAACTGGCTCTGACATTCCAGCAAAGCCTTGAACTGAGCTTTCAAAGTATCAGTGGGCACGCCCTACCAAGGTCCTGAGTCGTGCAGAAGATGCAGATTCAGCCCCCTGCAGGCAGGCAGGTCTGTGCACGCCCTACCAAGGTCCCAAGTCACGCAGAAGAGCTGAATCACCCCGCTGCAGACAGGCAGCCACCTGGTTCCACACTACAAAGACGCAGAGGACACCAGACCACCAGACCAAGGTACTGAGTCCCGCTGCTCCCGGCCCAGAGGTGGGGGCTTCTGAGCCGCCGTCCCACTGCTCTTGGTCCAGAGGAAGGGGCTTCCTGGTCACCATCCCTCCCGATGCTCCTAGTCCACAGGAAGGGGCTTTTGGGTCACCATCCCTATCACTGCTCCCAGCCCCTGTCCCACTTCTCCCAGCTCAGAGGAGGTAATCCATGCAGGCGCTAACAGCCCCCCACCCCAGTCAAAATGAGAAAACATGTAAATATGTCTCAAAACCAGACTTCCAGATCACTTACAGCAACCCGAAGGGAAATGAGATGGAACACTCTGATACTCAACCACCTGGACCCATTGAACTGGCAACAAAAGGGGATCTGGAAAAAATGAAATCAGAAATAATTTCTCAGATAACAGGAGAAATTGTGCCCCTAGTGCAAGAT